CATATCCTGCTTACCTAATTTTGGAGAGTCTAAATATAGAACAATATATAACACTGCAATATACACATTAAACGAGAGTGTGTGGGAAAGGTAAGAGAGAATGCTAATGCAAGTTGTTGAGAATTTTGCGTTTTTACTGATCCTTATCATGTCGAATTGTTGTTTCTGTCATGCGTAGTGACTCATTTTGCACGATTTTGCAATTTTGCACACAATAAGATGCTACAAACAGCCAAGAGGTGATTAATCAATTATCAATGAATATTGCTGGCCAGGACACAAGGAGAAACTCTTCAAATGATGGCATGAGATCTTCAGCATGACCACTTGAAAATACAATTGGAACGAGTTGAGGATTCTCAGAAGAAAACCACATCTTCACTGAACAACAACTTGCATCTATAGAGCACTCTTTATGGGATAGTGGAGGCAGAACTCAATCAGAACCAAATGATGAAGCTCTTCTTCATAAAAGTTTATTGAAATAAATAACATTAGATAATTATTAACAGAGTGAGGTACTCATTTTTTTTGTTAAAAACAAAATTTTACATTTCGGACCGATAGGAAGCAGGTCTGTTATCGCTACAATACGGATTATTAGCTGGCGGGGGGAGTGGGGTGGGGTCAGCATGAACAATATGCCATTGGAAATGAAACGCTTTTTATGTCAGTCGTCTTCTGTTTCCTTTCTACTTTTGTTAAGGTCAGCGAATAACAGGAAGTGCACTCTGTTTGGCAAGAACATGCACCTCATGCAGCACATTCTAAATGAGACAAAATGGTTACATTGCCGCCACATTCCTGTTGCATGCAAGTTCTCGTGCGGTTGGTTTGATCGCATTATTCTATTGCCAACGACAGACACCCTTCACTTGCAGCTCACTGCAAGGTCCACTGAGGCAGGCAGTCTGGGACGCGACAGGAATAAAGACTGGAGGCAGCGCAGCCCCTGATCTACAAATTATTAGTATTATTATTAATGTTATTAATACTCAATTATTAATCAGATGCAGGGTTACGCGAGGCATCCTGAAGACCGTCTCCCTTATCTGTGGGTGCGATTGTGAACCCAAGAATAAAAGTTGATTACTGGGAAGCACCTTAACCAGCAATTCATTCAGTGCAGCACGACATGGAGATCTCGGCCCCAAATCCTGCCGTTGGTTACCAGATAGGGAAGGGAAATCTCAGGAACACTAATGGGCAGTCACCCTACAGTTGGTTATTTATCATGCATTGGTACATCCAGGTGGGGTTCCTAAAGGGATATTGGGAGGTGACACTCAGCACTGTGTGTGTGGGATTCAAAGCATTGGAGGCAGGTTTGGTGTGGCCTCTGCTTACTTAGGGGAAGGTCATCTATCATGAGACTGCATCTTGGTGGAGGGGAGTGGGATCTTTAACTGATTTGCCCTTCCTGCTCCGACAGGGCATGAAGAAGCTTAGAGTGAACGATGGGCATTCAGTACAGTCCTTTCCATTTGGACCAGACTCAATCTGCACCATCAGGGACTCTTCCCAACTCTCTGCAAATCCTGAGGGAAACAATTTACGCCAGAGAACTCCAGGAACGGAGAAAGCAGGAACTTTCTCCCTCACCTCCAAAGGTTAAACGTATCCACATTGGTGTGTCTGAACCTGTCTACCTGTGAACGTGTGTGTAGGCAAAGTGAGAATGTTCCTCTGTGCTTAGTATGTAACAATCATACGTGTGTTCCTGCCTTCAGTTATTTAAAAAAATCGTGTGGCAAGAACAAAAGAGAATAACAAAAATGGAGGCACTGGACTTGCTTACCAGCCCACTCACTAGCCATCCATCTGATGGGAATAAGCAGCAAAGTCATTGCCAATCTCAAAGTCACTGTTAATAATACTAATCCTTGCATTTGATATTGTCATTGAGACGTTGGGCGAAACGTCAATGTTGGTGGCAATGTCAATATCAGTGTCGCTGCGTGGCTTATAATCATACAAGTGACCAGAGAAACCTTCTTTGTTTAGAAACTCCTCAAACGCAAAAGAGATTGTTTCTTCAGAGTGAGACCCATTGTGGACCACAGCGATCTGTTCCGATGATGCACATTCCTATATTCCTGTGTAGCAAAATTAGAAAGTATTCCAAACCAGGAATGTCCCACAAACAGCAATGGAATCAGTCTCCTCAATGTCAATCCTCATCCTCTCTGTTGACCATCTATGTGATCGAGGATAGATATAAAGGTCAACCTTTACAGTCAACTGTAAGATATACATTCTGAACTGATGTAACAATATGTGGTGCAGTAGTATCTTATTAGAAATGGCCTGTTATATTTAATCATCTCTCGTCAGTGCCCCTCCCTGGCTGTCTCTGAGGAAGGTACAAGGGACAGGGTCACAGGGCAAAGTAGTGAGCTCACAATAGCTGAAAGAGATGTACCAACACAATGTGCGTACAGAGTGCTTTGTGTGTACAACGAAGTCCTGTGTGTACTGTGCATTTAACGTGTGTACAGTGCAAAACAAGACTGGATCATACACTGAAAGGGAAAACACTCAATGGAGTGTAGAAGCAGAGGGATTTGGGGACACAAATACCTGAATCATTAAACGTGGGACAACAGATATGGAAACCTAACAAAAAGGCAAATGGTGACTAGGATTTGTAAACCGGATTTATATATTATTAAATATAAAATTCGGGAAGTTATGTTGGAAATGTATAGGGCGTTATGCTGGAATTGTATAAGGAGCAGTTGGAGTATTGTGTTCAGTTTAAGGCTTCTCATTACAGAAAGAATGTCATACAGATAGAGACAATTCAGCACAAATTCACTAGGATGATATTAGATATCAAACAATCACATGTGTAGGGTAGCTGGCTAAATTGGGATCTTTCTATTGAAGTAAAGGAGATTGAGAAGGGATACTGAAGAGGTATATTATTGTAAATGGGGAAAACTAATATTTCCTTTAGATGGGAG